CTTTGAAACTGTGGTTTTTTTTCAAAACCAACTTCTTCCTGAATGCCTTATCTTTATTGTCCAGGCAGAGTAGTAAACTTACTCAGCAAAATTATGCTCCCAATGTCTTTCTGTTGTAGCTCGGTCTGTTATAAATCTGTTTCCAACTCTTTGTCCAAAAATGATCAGTTCCATTTTAGATAATGACACCTTATGATCATGAGTTCCTCAAAAATATGTCATTCTAATGATTATTAAGACTTGTTTGATTCTGCAGGGCAGAATCTTCCTAATTCAGGATGTATTTTTTGTGAGAGTGATTGCTTTATTGTGTTGATGAAAATGATGCATGCTCATCATAAAATCTGAAGCAAGAGGACGAGAGGATGTAAAGATAGGCAAATGATAGTTGCTGTTGGTCAAAGTATTTGTGATGAGTCCTTTTATTCAGCACCTCTCAAGTGAAACTGTGGTGTGAATTGATGCCAGGATCTGATATGAACCTTAGGGCCTATTTCCATGCATACTATTGCCAGCAGAATTTATTTGCCTGTGGTTTAGTTGTTGAAATTTATTTTGGTGTCAGCTTTTGTCTGTGATTATCCTTAATTTCTATAGTTTCTGTCACTGACAATATGCATGCCGTGTCCTCATAAGTAACCTCTAAGAAGGTAGGCTATGTCCTCATGAGTAACCTCTAAGAAGGTATGCTGTGTCCACACCAGTAACCTCTAAGAAGGTAGCCTCACACTATCTTCTTTACTTTCTTTCACAACCTTAACAAACTAGGCAAGATTTTCAATCATGTGTCAAATGATTAAGGACCTTACTTACATTTGTACAATATGTTTTTCTTTAAAACTCAATACCTTGTTAGTTGACATGCTACTAAATTCACAGGCCATTCCTACATTCAGTGGTGGGCCACACAGCACAGATGTTGGAGGTCCTTGGAGACAAAGTAATAATGATGACGATGTTGATGATGATGATGGTGATTTTGATGATGATGACAATAATATAATGGAGGCACCTTTGCACTCTGTCTTCAGGATAGAATAATTGATTTTCAAATTCAACAAAAAGTCAATAATGAAATCCATTGATTTCTATATAACATTATGTAGAAGCAGGAAATTGGGAAGTCCCTGGAGAGTGAATTACTTAGCATTAACACTTTTCACATTCATTGAAGTGATAAAAAAATCTGTACACAATATGCGGCGCGCTCCTCGGCCAGCGAGGAAGAACGACCACCATGCGAGGATCCGTCTCAGAACACACTTTATTGGAGCGCCTCTTGATCAAGGGAGAGCGGGAGGTGAGGGGCCCCAGGACTAAACTACAGCTGCTTATAAAGGAAATCAGGTAGACGTGCCGTACTGTGATTGGGTCCCGCCAGAAGGCGAACACGGGGAGCCACGGGATAGGCTGAGGACATAAGGCCAATTACCATACTCGTGCATCATAGCCAAATATGGAGTTGTTTACAGCTAGGCTCCCAGGAAGCCAGCGCCATCTTTAGCGGCTCCCTACAACAATACTCTCCATAGTTTTGACATAATAAGAATGTTGAAGGAGAAAGTCACTATAATAATATAGTCTGCCTAATTCTTATTTATTTATTGTTATTTATTTATTTATTTATTTATTTATTTATTTATTTATTTATCTAAGACAAAGTTTCTCTGTGTTGCCCTGTATAACAGGCTGGCCTTGAAGTTAGAGATCCACCTGCCTCTGCCTCCCCAGTGCAGGATTAACCACCACCCAGTTAATTCTTCCTTTATATTTAGGGAGGTATTAAATAGAGATATTCCATTTCTCGAAATTTGTAGTCTCTTACTGCATATCTCTCTACATAGCTCACCCCTGAAAATCTGGCTATAAATGATGTGTTTCCAGCCAAGGAGAAGGGATATCCTCATCCAAAATCTGATCTCACAATCACTTTCTTACCCTTCTAGAAACATTCTTAAGATCACGTGATCTGTGAGTAGTGTCAGGAGGTTTGGTATTTATTTCATATTTATTGTGTATGAATTATATGATGCACTCAACTTCACAAAAATAAATTCCATCACACATAATTTATTTTCTAAGATTCTAAGCAAATCTTGATCATTCTGTACTTCTTTTAAGTGCTAGAACTTTATTGTGATCATTAGAAAATTAAGTTTATTATCCCTGAATTAAGATGGTAGTAAGAAGAGTGAGGAACTCTACTGAGATACAGCACTTTGTAAGAAGAGGTTGCTTAAGGGTCAGGGCCATGAAGAAGAACTCCAGCTAGGGTATTACTGGGGGGTTCTCTTCAATGTTTTTTTTTTTCTTTCCAGTTCTCTGATCTCTGCAGGATGTAAGTTTTCAGTAATAAAACCAAACAAATCCATAGGTAAAAATAGGTTATTCTCTGTCTCTCTCTGTCTCTCTGTCTCTCTGTCTCTGTCTCTCTGTCTCTCTCTCTGTCTCTCTCTCTGTCTCTATCTATCTATCTATCTATCTATCTATCTATCTATCTATCTATCTATCTATCTATCTCAACCTTGACTACTGAATTTTGCCACTGTGTTAGGTCAGGAGTTCTGGAAAAGGAATAGACCAGCCTGTCTTCTAAAATAATGAATATTAGAAAAGGGAAAGGAATTCTGAAGTCCTCTGTCCTCTCTTTGCCTTGAAATTGACATATCAGTATGAATCCAAGTTCATTCAGATAAGCGAAATGTGTAATCAGTAAAAAATAAATTTAAGGCTAATTTGGAAGGAATCTTCATAATTATACAAATATAGACATTTTAGTATGTAGGAGAAAGCAGGGAGAAAAATGAGGAGGATGTGGTACTCATGCCTGCATCCAAAGACAACAGCTGAATCTGTGAGTAGTAATAGAACAAGCATCAGTGATGTACTTGCAGTTTGTTTTCTGGAAAAGCAAACAACTAAGCTAATAAAAATCAGTGTTTGTGAAGTAGTCATTGGCGATTGTTACGTTCAGCTTTGTATTACTTAACACATCCACACTTTTAAGCATTTATAAAAATGAATACATTTAATTGAATTCACATGTACTCCCTTCCATCTTTGTTTGTTTGTTTGTTTGTTTTTTGAGACAGGGTTTTTCTGTGTAGCTTTGTGCCTTTCCTGAAACTCACTCTGTAGCCCCAGGCTGGCCTCGAACTCACAGAGACCCACCTGCCTTTGCCTCCAGAGTGCTGGGATTAAAGGCATGCGGCACCACCACCTGGCTCCCTTCCATCTTATATATAACTCTCTTTCAGATCTCTCTAATGGCACATGATGAAAAACTTGTCACTTCTTACAAAGTATTAATTATATATTATGGCTTTATTCTAAAATATGCTGAAAGCAAAGAGACATGGTATACCACCAACTTAGCACCCCATAAAAAGAAAGGTGTA